TGCGACCAATTCGGGCTGCGACCAGAGTCACGGAACGAATTAAGTTCGTAACCTGAGGTACAGGTACAACTGTACTTTGGGAAGTAATTGAAAACTGCATTACGGGAGTCCTCGAGTTACGCCGGCAATTGGGACTGGAATTTTCATTGCTAAGTGATGCAATTGTTGGGTAAGGATTCCCAGGTCATGTCATGTGACCATATTGCTTAGCAACAGCAATCCCAGCACTCCCCATTGCTGTCGTTAACCGAATCCCACTGGTTGTTAGGCAAGGACACACCCTGATCCAAGCCACTCCCAGCTTGGTCCCTCCCAGCCCAGAGCCTCAGTAAGGTAAGGGACTGCCTCCTCTTCAACTCCCCGCACCCGCCTATCTCCCCCCCATCTCTGCCCTTTTGGCCACCCTGCACTCCACTGGCCCTGCCGGCCTTGCTGCGCTGCACTCTCCTCTCTCTGCCAGCCCTGCCACCTTGCCAGCTCTGCTGTGCCCAGCTGACCTTCGCCGTCTTCTTCCTCCCACTGCTGACAAGATGGGCCCGGCCTGGCCCTATGCGAGGCAGCTGCTGGCCACACCAGGCGTTCTTCCCCAGTCCACTCGCCATTCTTGCGATGCTTCAGATGGCTTCTAAGGCCTTCTAAAGTCTTGTGAGAAGGCCGTGCCCTGCCATTCTCCAAATCGCGCAGAAGGCCTCAGAAATGGGAGATGGCAAAGGTCAGCTGGGCACGGCAGGGCCTGTGGAGTGCAGGGCAGCAGGGGTGGTTGGGGTTTTGCACTGTGGCGCTGGAGTGGCTGGCTGCAGCACGGGCTTGAGGCAGCACTTGGCAGCAGCGGCACTAGGGCTGACGTAGAGGCCCAGGGGCGGGGGCAGCCGGCTGAGACGGCTGAAAACCCTGGGCTTCTACTTCAGTCTCAGTGCCGCCACCAAGGAGTGTTGCTGTGCAGGGTGGCCAGAAGGGCCAAAATGCAGGGGGGAGTTGAAGAGTCCCAGTGGTCGTAAGTGCGGGCAGGCTGTGGCCAAATTTTGATCATGTGACCGTGGGGGTACTGCAATGGCCATAACGTCAGGAACCAAGCTAAGTACCATTCGTTCAGCGCCACTGTAACTTCGAATGGTTGATGAACAAATGGTCATAACTCAAGGACTACCTGTATTCTGGAGGGCATTTTCATGATTTTATTCATTTAATTCATGGTGTCATTTTACAACTGTTTGTTCCCTTCCGTTTGTCACTGAGAGTCATTGATTACAGCAGGGTAGGGTTCCAATCAACAGCTGCGTGTTCAGCAGAGCGAAAAACATTGGAAGAAAAATCCAACCAAAAGGAAGGTAAAGAAAGGCATTGGGAAAATAAGTAAGGCATGGTTAAAATTATTTATCTTCCTCTGCAGGTAATAGATGGGAAAGTGAGGTCAAGGTGGAGCATTCTCAGGGCGAAGGCGAAGAGCCAGAGGCAACATGCAGGACAGACCCCCTGAGAAGCCCTGTGAATCTGTCTGAAAACCTGGAAGAACGCTGCAAGTCAAAAAAGCAGCAACAGAAGACATCCATGGAGAATGAGGAGGAATGTATTTTGCTTGCAAAAAGTTTTTCTGCTGCTGTTATTGGAAAGACCACTTTATCCAGCAAGGATAAACTGCCCTTGTTCTCCAAGTATGGTAGAAAATATCACTACAGAGTGGAACTTGACATGATAGATTCCATGGATGACTTTGAAGAATGCCCTAGATCAGAGGAAGATCTCCAGTGCGTTTCCGACTATTGTGAAAAGGAAGAAAATATAATAACTGAGAAAAAGTGTGAATTTTCTGGGAACAGAATAGGGAATCATTTGAACAGATATCAATGTATGTATCTAGAAGAAAAACATGATAATTCTCTTGAGTACGTGAAAACCTTTAGTAATGCAAACTCGTTAAAAATAATTCAGGGTCCTAATGCTGAAAGGAAATTGTATGAATGTTCCCAGTGTGGGAAATGCTTTGGTAAATTTAGCCAATGGAATCAACATCAGAAAATTCATACTGGAGAAAAACCATACAAATGTTCCCAATGTGGGAAACGTTTCAATCAAGCAGGAAATCTGAAGACCCACCAAAAAATTCATACTGGAGAGAGACCATACAAATGTTCTCAGTGTGGGAAATGTTTCAATCAGGCAGGAAATCTGAAGACCCACCAAAAAATTCATACTGGAGAAAGACCATACAAATGTTCTCAGTGTGGGAAAAGCTTCACCCGAGGAATACTTTTGAAGATACATCAAAGAATTCATACTGGAGAAACACCGTACAAATGTTCTGAATGTGGGAAAGGATTCAATGAGATGCGCAACTTGAAAAGACACCAGAGAATTCATACTGGAGAGAAACCTCACAAATGTTCCCAATGCGGGAAATGCTTCACTGAGGCAGATGTTTTGAAAATACATCAAAGAACACACACTGGAGAGCGACCATACAAATGTTTGGAGTGTGGAAAATGCTTCAATAAATCAGGAACCTTGAGGAGACATCAAAGAATTCATACTGGAGAGAGACCATACAAATGTTCTCAGTGTGGAAGAGCTTTCAATCAAATGGGAACTTTGAAAAAACATCAGAGAATTCATCCGGGAGAGAAACACTACAAATGTTCTCAAATCCATACAGCAATTTATATTGGAGAAAAACCACACAAGTGCTCTGAATGTGGGAAATGTTTCAGACAGGCAGGACTTCTGAAGAGACATCAAAGAATTCATACTGGAGAGAGACCATACAGATGTTCTCAGTGTGGAAAATGGTTCAATCAGTCAGGAACTTTGAAGAGACATCAGAGAATTCATACCGGGGACAAACCAACCCAGCTTCTTAGCATTGAAAATGCTTCAGTCAGAGAAGTAACTTGAAAAGCTATCTGGGAATTCAAATTTAAGGAAGAAACCACAGATATAACTAAAACCTAATGGGAAGAACCTCCATGATTGGAATATAGTAATTGAAAGATACAATCCACTGAAAAGAAAGAGGGGCAGTAGAACAGGAGGAAGAGTTTTAGTGTATGATAGGGATGAATAAAATCAATATAAAGATTGATGCCTCCCATCACTCACCCTGGCTATGAGTGATGTGGACTATGCTTTCTGAAAGCAGAGAGAGATCTGAAATAAATTGTGGAGTTGGAATCCCGAGTCCAACTTCCTGCTTAGGAACTTTTGCAGAAAAAACAGGGAGGAATTATTGCACGCTTCAAGTCCATGAAGGGATGCCGTAGAGAAGAAGGAGATTTGTTGTCTCTCATTCTGGAGGGTAAAACATGAAACCATAAATTGAATGCTAGGAAAAAACTTCAAACATTCATTCATAATAAAGATGGTTGAGCAGTTGGACCAATTGTGCAATGAGATGATGGGTTCCCCTTCGCTAGATGTGTCCAAGCACGGGCTGGAAAGAAGCTTGTCATGGATAATTGAGATTCCTGCATGGAGCTGACATTGGACTCGATGATCTTATCGGCTATTTCCAGCTTATGCTTCCATGATTCCTGACAAGACCACGTGGCTGTGGGTTTGGGGCCCTCCTACATCTAGCGGGTTGCCATCTTTAACCTGTCAGAGCTGGTGCACGATCAGGGGGTCCTTCTGGACTCGCAGCTCCTGCTCAAAGAGCAAGTGGCACGTGGCTAGGAGGGCCTTTGCATAAATACATCTTGTGGGCCAGTGGCGTCCTTTCCTATGTTGGGAGACACTGGTCACGGCCAATCGTGCCTTAGTCACCTCCCAATTGGGCTGTCGCAATGTCCTCTAGTGGGACTGCCCTTGAAGAGCATTCAGAAGACCACAGCAGCTTGAACAGCAGTGGGGGCATCACCATATACCCACGTAAGACCCTGCTATGTGAACTGCCCTGCCTCCCAGGATCCTTCAAGGTGCTGATCATCCCCTTTAAAGCCCTACATGGCATGGGGCCAAGTTATTTGCAGGACTGCCTATCTCTGGGGCAGTGTTTCTCAACCTTGGGAACTTTAAGATGGGTGGACTTCAACTCCCAGAATTCCCCAGCCAG